CGGAGGATCAACGGCTGGAGCGACTGCTGGCAAGGCCAGGAAAGCGACTGGTATATACGTGACTGGTACGTGGCCGCTTCGCTAAGCTTCGTCCCGACCATTCGAAACCATTTGGAAACCTCATAGTGTAGACTCTTGATGAATAACCTCCCCATATGAAGTGGACTTCCAATTCAAACTGAAGGGTATTTTCGCTAGGAGGCTTTGGCCATTGGATTTCAAGAGTCAGTGCTTCGTGGAGCCCTTTGAGTACGTTTCAAAGGAACTACGTCGTGATTCACCCTATAGCCAACTCCAGAAATCGCCAGACCACCTTGTTGCTCAGCGATTGTCGATGCTGAACCACAGCAGGTTCGACAAAAATTCACATGTGCTTCCTCCTTCTGTGGCGGCGCCGCTGAGCCTTCTCTTAGAGGTGGGCTCATGGAGTCGAGCGGGCGCCGGCTCATTCTTTTGGCATGTGTTGGCACCTGCCACTAAGGCACTTGCTGCCTCCCTCGCGGCTCTGCAATTAGCCGCCGCCACCCCCAACATTCTGTACAGCTGCGTCGAACACTCCGATTCCATGGAAGTGGCTCGAGATGATGATTCATGCCGGGCACGCACTTCTGCTGTGTGTGCCACTATTGATGCCATGTGTGCAGATCACGGCCTGCGGGTCACTGTGTCTCGCTCCGGGTACGACACGTTTGACCTTCTAGCGACTCTGTTCCCGAAAACGGTCCAGGTTATGGACCACCTCACTGACCCTGAGGCGGCTCTTGCAAAGGCAGAACTTTCCAAAGTTGACGTCCTGAGCCCCTTCTTGCTTTGGAACAGTCCAAAGGACCTTGGTACAGAATCGCACTACTTCTGGCACAATGAGCATGGCGTTGCCGCCATGCCTTGGGTGGTTCCGCACGGAGTGGACGCCGACGCTCTGTTTCATCACGGATGTACAGGGTATAGTGCTTTCCCAGCGCTCAACTTCCCCCTGGTTAGGCCACTGAGAAAGGCTGCATGGGCACCGGGTCGCACGTTGGTTGTGGTAGCCACGCATTCCGACCAATGGGGGTCTGACGGCGCCACCAGGCACATGTCAGTGGTCTACGGCCTTAATCGTCAAGGTGAGCCAGTGTGCGAAGTTGACCCCGTGGCCCTGGGTTCGGGCTTCGCACGAAGGATCTTGCGTCCCCATCCGAATGTTGACAGCTCCAGTATCACGAGGAGCTTCCATGAGGCCGGCTGGGAAATAGGAAGAGGCAAGTTCTCAAAGACACCCCGCCGATATACCGAGTGGGCTGCGCTTGCAGATGTTGTGCTCGTGGAGGGTGGAGCCACAATGACGCACTTGCTTGCGTCATCAGTTGCCCTCGACGTGAGGTGTGTCCGCACTAGGCACCGCATGGTGAGGGCCACAGAGCTTGGGGGGCTAGTGGCCGACGAAAAGGTCTGCCCGCTCGTCTGGGCGTACCCTACAGGTGATCACCCGAGGGCAGTTGACATCAACACGCAGGTCGTTAATGAGATGCTAGACGCCGATCCGGACGATTTGAACACGCGCCTCACCAAACGCAGCACGTGGCGCGCTGCAGGGGGTTGACGGATGGCATGCAGAAGAACTACAGTGCCTAACTAAATTGATGATTTCCGGCCTGTCCTGCCTTCTTGGTGCGGTTTGGCAATCAGGCCTGACCACACAGTTGATGCAAGCACGCACCCTACTGATTGCCAAAAAAGATAATCCCACTTCGATTTCTGATGGCCGTCCAATCACGATCCTCGGTTATATGGCCCGGGTTACCTCTAAGTTAATTGCAGACGATCCTTGCGCAATGGGCCGCGTTTTGGCCCCCTGAAACAAGCGGTGGCTTACCGCACCGATCCGCACGCGACCTGTGTCTCATGCAGCAGCTGCAAATTGAACATGCCAAAAACAGCCACCTGTCGTGGGGAGGCTGAACGATGGACCTCGTCAAAGCATTCAACTTGATCCCACGTAGAGTCGTCCGCCACATATTTATGTTACTGGGTATTCCCACATATTATATCAGTGATTTTTGGTTCAAATCCCTCACGAAACTGACACGGGTGCTTCAGAGTGGTAGAGATATGGGAGAACCCTGCCCGTCCACAACAGGCCTCCCGAAGGGGATAGTATGTCAGTCGTGGGAATGCTTGCATTAAGCTTCATTTTGTTGCCAAGTTGAAATCACCAAAGTACACCCCTACGCATACGTGGACAACTGGTCATTCATGGCCACATCCGAGCGACATTGTTTCCAAACGATGATCATACTCCTGAATTTGGTTGCAGACTTAAAAATGCGCATTGACTTTTCTAAATCCTGGTGCTGGGCAGCAACAAAATCATTTCGTACATTCTGGATACAATCATCAGTACTTCTGCTTAGCCCAGAGTTCGAATTTACAGTTAAAAGTCATGTCCATGACCTAGGCTGCACCATCTCTTACAACAATACTGTAGTGTTAGGACCGTTACGTGATAAAATTGACAACGCAGTGGCCAAGCGCAACCGTCTTCGCCGATTACAGCAGTCTTTGGAAGAGCGAGCAGAAAAACTGCAAACAGCAGTGTGGCCAGCTGTTTTTTACAGGGCCTTGGGACTTACGATTGGTGATAAACATTTCACCACGTTAAGAAGAGCTGCGGCCAACGTTTTGGTTGGAGAGCATAAGCATGCATCAAGTGCCATGGCCTATCTCCCAAAGGGTCCAAGACCCATTGCTGCGCGTAGTCACAGATATGATCACCACGCTTATACTACCCCGACCCAGCGGGCCAAGTGCTTAGTACCCTGCGAGCCTTTAATGGCAAGGTCCAAGGTCCAGCCTCTGCACTCGCATGCTACCTGCAGAAACTAGGCTGGGAATTGACCGACCATGCAACGCTCCTTGGCCCCGGGGGCCTTCGCATAAATTTGCAAGGGTCTTCAACCAAACAAATCCGGTCCCAGGTTAGAATTGCGTGGGATTGGCAGTGTCAACCAGAAGTCCTCCATCGGAAGGGAGTACCAAATGAGCCATTTTGACTCCATGTCTACAATACGTCTTATGCAAAAGCTCACAGACCGTCAGCTGAGGATCCTTGCACTTAGCCTCACCTCAGGGTGGCAGTCTTACGGAGGTATTGCAGCCTGGTCAGGAACACAGAAGCCGGAGTGTCCCTGGTTACGACGAGCACACACACCAACTGCTTGAATGCCAGGAATTTTCAATTATCCGTACACAACATGCAGAGGCAGTCCGCTATATGGCCGAGAACCGCTATGCTTGTTGGTTCCCTCTCCCAAGACACCGTCCGAACCTTGCATTGATACGTCAGGCCATGCACCTTCGTAATGGCACCTACACTACACTTAGTCCAACCCATTTTCCAGTTAGTTCCGTTATCTACACAGATGGCACATGCGATAATACACGAGTCCCATATGCAGCTCGCAGCATGGGCTGCGATTTTGCGTACACCAACAACTAGTATGCAGAATGACAGCAAATTTCAGGTTTTAGCGGCAGGGCATTGCCCAGGGTTGCAAACAATTAACAGATCTGAACTGTTTGCCATGGTAGTCGCAGTTGAACTCGTGGCCACTGACCCATGTGCCATGCAAGTTACATTTGTCACCGACTCCCAGTTTGTTGCAAATTGTATAGCACAGATTGAAGATGATGTGATATTCCGTTGCCCACACAAAAAAATCCATTGGGATCTTATTCAAAGTTTGATACGTGTGTGGGACTCATTGCGATTCAACCTTCTTAAAATTCGGTCCCATATAGAGATATTAATCAAGCACAGAATCCGCCAACGAGGCTTACCACATACACGGCAACGACCTTGCTGATAAGGCAGCTGCTAGGATGCGACACACTGATGACACAGAATTTACCAATTCCCAGAGGCTCGTAGATTGAAAAAATTCAGTAGAGATTGACAAATTCAATCCAAGATTGGTTTTGTTCAAAAATCAATCGGAAATTCAATAGATTATGCTTTTCTAAAATCAATCGAAAAGTCTGTTTTTTAGTAAAAACATGTTTTCAAAAACCAATCGAAAATCAATCGAGAATTCTGATTTTGAAGATAAAATATGATTGATCTTGTTGGCCATTTTGGTGGGTTTAAAGGTCAGGGGTGGGTTGTGTCTTCTACCCTACACTCTTGTGGCTGTCCAGCCACCACACTCAACCCTTGACTTTCCCTACACTCTTGTGGCTGTCCAGCCGCCACCACATTCAACCCTAGATCTGGATAGACTCTTGGCTGCCACCCACTTGTCAGAGCCCTGAAGTCGTTTCCTTCTTTTCCTTGCAGTGCTCTCCTTCTTCTTCCTGTAGCTGCTCTGGGTTCCATGGCCCTTTCAGGATTAAATGGAAAGCAAAATAAAATTTCTTAAGAATCTTGGATGGCAGCACCCAGGCTGGTGTGCTTTGCACACTGGCACCAGCCACTGCCACCATCAATGACATGAAACTTTCACCTCCATATGCCCAGCAGCCCCTGGGGGCCAGGAACCTGCTCTGTCCTGAGTAGTGTGCTAGGAGGTGGTGCTTCTGGACAATACTGAACTTGCATCCTCCCTTCAGCATGCAGTCTCTTGCAAGCCATGCATAGTGTGCCAGCAATTCCTCACACTTTTCTTGGAACTTCTTGGCACTCTTCTTCTTCCAGACATACTCTTTCTTGTCACATCGGGTGTAGGCTTCCTCCATGGCTTTACAGAGAGCTTGCGTGCGCTTTCCTCTCTGGTTGGTTGCAAGGGTGGCTATTGGTGCAAACCTCCTCACTCTTCTGCCTTTCACATGCCTCAGGCAAGGAAAGTCATCTGTGAAGATGTCTGAGACATTCAGCCTGGGGATTCTCTGCCGTGCTTCTATGCCAAGCTCATGGTACTTCTTGGCCACCATCTGGTTCACTTGCACTAGAGCCTTCTTCCTGCCCATTGAGATCTTCTCCACCAATGCTGCCAGCAAACTCCCATAGATGTGGCAGGCCACACCTAGGTCCACCAGGTCTTCATATCTTCCTTCTTGCCTTTCTCCTTCATGTCCAGCCTTGTTTCATGCAAGGCTGCCTCCTCCTTGCTCAGTTCAGCTTTGAAGGAGAGGAGCTTCTTCGGCAGGGAGTCCTTGTTCTCTTTGGCACTCACTGTGCTCATTTCCTCCCACTTCTTCTTCTTCTTCTTCTTCTTTTCTTTCTCTTCCTCCTCCTCTTCATCTGCAGCTCGTGGCTTCTCATCCTTGACCGACATCTCCTTCTTCAAGAAGGCCTTCAGCTCTGGCTCCACTTCCATGTCATCCAAACTGTCACCCAGTAAGCCAAAGCTCTCATCCTCCACATCATCCAGGCTAAGGTTCTCCACCGACAGCCAGTCATCTTTGGTGGCCTTGTGCTTGTCTGTGCTGTATACACTCTCTCTTCTTTGTAGTCATCCATCTCACATATTCAGTCTGGTCAGCAAACTCTAAGAAACCTTTGTCTGTGGGTGACTTTCTGAATTTCATGGTTCCAGCCCTCAGCCTGGCTAGTGCTCATTCTGACCGTACTTGTCCACTTGCTCCTTCCAAGTGTTGAACTTTATTTCACCACCTTTCTCTTCCCTCTTCTCCATGCTCAACGCAGCAGCCTTGTAGTTCTTGGCCAGGGTTCCTCCATCCAAGATGAAGTTACTGAGCAGCTTGTGCTTCTTGTCCTGGGACCCCAGGCCTTTGGTGAGCTCCTTGTAGCTACCATCCTGCCCTTCCAGCAGCCTGCTCTTCTCAAACTTCTTCCACACCAGCTGCTGCTGCTCTTTGTGTGGTAGCTTGGCCAAAGCCTTCTCGACCTCATTGGCCGAGCACAGCTTTGCATCCAAAAACTGCTGGTGGGTTTTCAGGTTTCCCAGGCTGAGCCTCCCACTCATGAGTGTGCCATCATCAGTCTTCACCTCCTCCTCCTCCTCTCCCTCCTCCATGTACACATTGTCTTTCTCTTCTTCCTTGGTGTCTTCTGCCTTGCCAGGTTTCTTCAAAATTCCTGGTCTGGCTTCAGGTTTCTTCATCACCTTTTCTTTGCACTTGGTTTGGGCAGCTGGCTTCTTCACTGGTTTGGCCATTTCTGTGGCCAAAGCTTCTTCTAAACTTCTCTTGGGCCACACAATTCTGGCCAGAAAAAAACATCGAAATCCAACATTTCAGAACACACAGCTCTGGCCAGGGAAATTGGAACCCAAAATGTGTTGTTTTCACATGTTAACATGTGAATTCACATGTTTTCATGTCTTTTCATGTATTATCATGTCTTATCATGTCTTTTCATGTCTTATCATGTCTTTTCATGTCTTGTAAGTGTCTTCACATGTTATCATGTGAATTCATGTGTTGTTTTGCCTTTTTTGGTCATGCCTATCCAGCCACCACTCTCATCAGACTATTTTACTCATCAGATGTTTGGTCATTAGGTTTTGTTTTTTCACCAAATATTTTGCCCATAGTTTGAGGCATGAGACTTTGCCTCTTGAATTTGCTTCTTGAATTTGCTTCTTGAATTTTCATCACCAAATATTGGTGTCCACAGTTTAGTCACTAGGCGTTGCTTCCTTAATTTGTTTCACCACAAAATGTACACATCTATATTTATAGTCATTAGGTTTTACTTCCCTTCCTGGATCGCCTTCACCACAAAAAGTGTCCACAGTTTTAGTCATTAGGCTTTACTTCCTGGATTGCCTTCACCACAAAAATTACTCACAGTTTTAGTCATTAGGTTTTACTTCCTGGACTGCCTTCACCACAAAAATTGCCCAGAGTTGTACTCATTAGGTTTTACTTCCTGGACTGCCCTCGCCTAAAAATTGTCCACCGTTTTAGTCATACTCCCTGGATCGCCTTCACCACAAAAATTGTCAACAGTTTTAGTCATTAGGTTGTGCTTCTTTACCTTCCTTCGCCTTCAACACAAAAATTGTCCACTGTTTAGTCATTAGGTTTTGCTTCCTTACCTTCCTTCACCCAAAACTTGTCCACAATTTTAATCATTAGGTTTTGCTTCCTAAATAAGTTTTGTGGCTATCCTGCCACCACCCTCATACTTCTTTCTATGGCTATCCAGCCACCACCCTCATACCTCATGTTCAATTCCTTGTAGTTGAAAAGGAGGGTGTCATTGAGGCGCATGAGCTTCTGGATGAGGTGGCTTTGGGCAACCAACGATGCACCATTTGCTGCCTGACTCTTTGCATCTTGTGATAGTCTTTCAGTTGAAAGGCTTCAGACACCCCCACAGTTCTCACCTCATCTCTCAGCAAATCTACCATGTGCTCCAAGTCTACCTGGGGTTGGCATTCTTCTGGGCCCTCCTTTAGGTGCCACGCCTAAAACCTTTTCTTTGTCCTGAAGTGGCTGCTGACACGATGTCATGGCTACCCAGCCACCCTAGATCTAGAATTCTAATCAAAGCATGGCTATCCAGCCACCCTAGATCTAGAATTCTAACCAAAAACTCCCACCAAAAAGGCCTCCAGAAATCAATCGAGAATTCAATCGAAAATTCAATAGAAGTTTGATAAACACATGTAAAAACAGATTTCTCAAATTCAATCGAAAATTCAATATATTGAGTTTTCAAAAAACATTTCTATTGAAAAGAAAGCTGTTTTCAATCGAAGATTGAATTCTTGCAAAAATCAATCGATCTATTGATTTTTTTCAATCGAGGAGCCTCTGGGTTTGTGTGTGCAGATGCAACAGCATTACCAATTCCAGCAACAGATATTCCATAAGATCTATTTGTACCTCCTTGATATTGCCCATGCACGCATGGTGAAACTAGACGAGCAGTCTCGTAAGCCCCCCCTGTACACCCCGGAGGGACTCTCGTCCACAGACACTACAGATGTATTCCTAAAACAGATTACCAAATTGAAAGAATGAAGAGTATTGGGTGATCCATTTCCAGCACCGCCTGAACCTCATCGGGTGGTATTCTGGTGCAGTACCTGGGGTACTAGTTTGACTCGTCTAGTATGGATGTTCTGTCAGACACTTGCTTGGCCACATCCGGACACCCCCAGGGTACCTGCGGACCCGGGAATTTCATGGATGGAGCTCGCTATTTCGTTCATGGGCGAATAGGAGATTGCCTGTTCGAATCAAGAACGGGAAAAGTTACCAGGTTTTGGCCATCATGTGGATGCGACGGAGTCCGCAAGTGAGTGCATTCAAACGGAGTCTACATTACTCATAGCAAAGGGGGTCTGGTTGCAGCCAAAATGTTTGTTTGGAGCTTCTGGCCTCACACATCTTCCTAATGTAGACTCTTGAATAATAAACCATTTGGTCTGAATTGAACACCTCTTCATATGGGGTGGTTTTTGAATGAAGAGTCTATACACTAGCAGCTAGCAGCTTCTTTTTGTGTTTGCACCGAGCACCGCAAGAGCTACCTTGGTCTTCTGCGGACGCCAAACCCCAAACCGCCAGGTGCAAAGAGGAGGAACTGCAGGTCACTGAGGCCCAGGCCTTGGAGGTTCTACAGCAAGAGGAGGCACCAGATGGCTCGACTGGAATGGACGGGGACGGTGGAATCTTTTGAGGCAGGGTGACTTAAAACTTTTTTGGGGAAGTTTTCTTTGGACACTCCCTGAAGATCACAATGGTTAGGTGGAAAATATAAACTGTTGGGCGTGGTGATGCGGGCCGTTTTCCATCCACGGCCAGGCCCATGATCCTTGGTCCTTGCGACCGCCAACGCGACAAAGGGAACCAGGGAACCAGGGATATACAAACAAAGGAGAGCATGGTAGAAGGAAAGAACAAAGAACAAAGAACAAGGAAAGAACCAGGGAACCTGCTCCAAATGCTCGCTGCAACAGTGGCTGAATCAGTTGACCCAGAGGCTCTTGGGCCCCTCCCTCAAAGCACTATGGAGTCGAGTCACAAGTCGAAGTGGAAAGTGGCTCGTTGGACGTTGACGTTCCCCGAATCAAACAGGTGGTTTTCCACTTCCATGTCCGTTCCCTCGAAGTGTACTTGTTTGAGATGCAAAACCAAAGCCAGACGAACTGCTGGAGCGAACTGAGGGTTCTTTTGCTTTGCCTTTGTGAAATGCTATTGGGACACGGCCATGACCATGTTCAATGTCCCAGACAAGACCCATGGGATTGCCATATATGCCTACATTGACCCCCAAAACCACCCCAATGTAGGCGTATATGGCAGTCCCATGGAGCGTCTGGGTGTGGATGACGGCCCTGAAACCCGAGTCGTCGCCCAGATTTTTTCGCACTGAGCATCTCTCCCTAGCCGTAGCCCCAGAGAAAAACGAAAAAACACCAAAAAAACACATCTCCAAGATGCAGACCAGGTGATGATCCTGGTTTGGACTGACCCATGAGGACCTGCGTTTCACCTCTTGAAAGCTCGAGTCTGTACACACTGTAGATCTAAGTCGGTCGAGTTGGAAAGAATCCCTAGAAAAGAAGAGATCTGAAGGCGTTTGGGCCAAGCAGGTTTCATAGGCTTAATACGAGCTGGAAGGCATTGGGTTTAAGCCAAACTGAGTGATTTTGAGATGTTTTGATCCATGGTTCCAGCCTTCGTCACACAAGATCAAAGAACTTGGGAAGCTGGTTATATGGGTAGGCTGATGGTCCTATATAGAAATGTCCACGGATCAGGAGATGTCTCTTGGCACATCGATTAAAACACAAAAATTGCACCCCTCCCTTCAAAATCTCAGTCCAGCTTTGGCCAGGGCCATGTGGGAAAGAGCATGATCCGCCTCAGAAGGAAAAGGATGCAGTGAAAACCAGGGAGGAAAGGGGATTTCCTCAACGTCACTCCATGAAAACCACTGTCCTCCTTTGGCAAAAGTGGCGAACCATTGCATTTCCATTCTTCACGAGTTCTCCTTGCTTTAGCAAACATGTATTACAATCAAGAGTTGGGATTGTGCATTGAGTTTGGTTCTGTAAGAAATGATTCTGTTCGTCGGGGGGGGGGCCTCCCCCTGGATCAAATCCCCCCTCCGCCGGTTCACGCCGTCATGGACTTCTACCAGGGTTACTTGTGATTGCCTGCTACCTTTCGTTCACCCCCTCCTCTCTCAAGTTCTAGTCGACGCAATTGGATATCCTTGATTGGCATTCCACCCCGCACGACTGGTCAAGTCTTCAGTCGTGTCCTTTCTGACAGCCATTCACAAGTTTACCGATTTCATCCAGGAGCTATGCCAAATACTACACAAACATGGATCTTAAATGTGGACCAACAGATTTTTGGACCAGGCTTGCCCTGTAAGAACCAGTCTTGTTTGTTGTGGCGGTCCTACTGGCCAGCCTGCTTCGTTTGGAGACCTCAAGAAGCTCTGAATGGTTTTTCGCCACCCACCTAGCCCATTGGCATCCATTGGCTAGACTAGAGATGTCCGGAGTATTCTAAGTCAACATCACACCTGTGGTGGGACCCATAACACTCCCGAATGCCGAAGATGTCAAGTGTCCTGACAAGCAATGCTGCAGGACCTGGGATCACTATAGTAACTAGAAAGAAGGCCATCAAAATGCGACCCCACTGGGTAGATCACATAGGTGGCAGCAGATCACATTGGGATTACTGTAATTGTAAGACCTGGGATTTGATCGAACACCCAACACACTCCCTGAAATCATCCATGGTTACGTGGATGGCATGGCCTCTTTGAGTGACCATGCAATCCGATGTCCAAAGAGTTGGTGCCATTCACGTCACCAGGTGAATTTCACTCGGAGTTGGTGCCATTCACCCTGCTGGTGATGTACTGCCCACGGTTTTCTTCCTGAGATGTTGTCCTCTTTTTTTGTCCACTCGAAGGGTTTTGGGCGAGTGGAGTTGGTAGGAGAATCGAAGAACCAACGACCTTTTGAGAAGGTGGTTTGGATCTGCAGGATTGGTACTCTCCAACTCAGCAACATGGAAGTGGATGGCACACCTGTTTAGTACTCGCCAAATGGTCTTCCAGGCACCATGGCATCCACTTCTATAATTTCAACTGGCAATTGATCTATATAATTATAATCCAATTTCATCAACCAGATGGACACGCCAGTCCTTGGCAGATTCTTTTTCAGCATGGGAC